TGAAATACATTGAATGAGGTGATCTCTAGGCTTCTTACAGCTCCAAAGTTCTATGACTGTGATGTTCAACCAGCAGGCAGAAATGTAGGATTGGAGTCAGGATAAAGATTGAATCTGGAGATATTTAAAAGGCATAGCACCTTCAGGTGATAATAAAAGTGTTGGAATTGAGTGAATTAGTAAAAGGAGAAAAAAGAGCAAAAAGGGAATTTGAAGGAATGTCTACACTGATGAGGTTCAAATTCTAAAAATAATGATGACAGCTAGGGAGACATTACCACTAGAGAGGTAACTGGAACGTCAGGAAAAGGCAGTTTTGAAAGCCAAGAGGATGCTTTCAAGAAAAATGGGATATAAATCATTGTCAAATGCTGTTAGAGAGGCCAAGAGATATGAGAAAGCATAGCTTGATTTGGGGATTAATAGGTGCTCGGTGACCTTCAAAAGACTAAATTTAATAACATGGTGAGATTGGAAACAGACTGTGGGAAGTGAAAAAGGTGTGAGCAACTGGAGACCAAATATAAAAGATCTTGTTAAGAAAATAGGCCACAAAGGAAAAGAAGTAGAATAATACAGGCTTGGGATATTTAGCATGGCAAGGATTTTGTATATTTTTTACTAGGAAAGAAAAATCAATATACAAAAGATAACTAATAGAAATCTGGAGGAGATTCAAGTAGAAGGGGAACATACAGAATGGGGCAAAATAATTGCAAATCAAATATCTGACAAGGGGTCAATATCCAAAATAGAGATATTTGCTCACCCACACTCATTAAAGCCTTATTCAGAATAGCCAAGAGGTGGAAGCAACCCAAATGTCCATCAACAGATGAATGAATAAAGAAAATGTAGTATATACATAAAATGAAATATTATTAAGCCTTTAAAAAGAAGAAAATCCTGTCACATGCTAAGAACGGGATGATTCTTGAGGACATTGTGCTAAATGAAGTAAGCCAGTTCACAATAAGATATCACATGCCTACTCATATGAGATCTAAAGTATTCAAACTCATAGAAACAAAGTAGAATGGATTGTTGCTGGAGGCTAGGAGAAAGGGGAAATTGGGAGTTAGTCGTCAGTGGGTATAAAGTGTCTATTTTACAAGATGAAAAAGTTCTAGAGAGCTGTTACACAACAATGTAAATATATTTAACACTTAACTATTAGTCATATAAGAAAGAAAGCTTCAAATGTTTGTGATTCTCAGAATGCCCTAAATGGCCTCACAGATTAATTTTACAAGTAAATGTTATAAAACAGATTTATAAAATAAGTATTTAAAAAGATAATTGTTTAAACAAAAATAATCATTTTTACAGAGTTTATAACATATCTAAAAGTAAAATGTATGCCAATAATTATATAATGGCTGGGAGGAGAGAAATGGAAGTTCCTAAAACTATACCTGAAGTGGTATAATATTTCTTGAAGGTAGTTTGTGAAAAGTTAAAGATGTATGCTATAAACACTAAAGCAACCACTAAAATAATACACAAAGAAGGTAATCTTCATGATAAAAACACTCAACAGACTAGGAATAGAAGGGAACTTCCTTAACCCAATTAAGGGCATCTATAAAACTCAAAACTAACATCCTAACTTAGTGGCGAATATTTTTCCTCTGAGATCAAGAACAAGACAAAGATGTCGACTCACCACTTCTATTAAACATTGTACTGGAAATTCTAGCCAGTGCAATTAGGCAAGAAATAAAAGGCATCCAGATTGGAAAAGAAGTAAAAGCACATCTATTTACAGATAATATGATCTTATATATAGAAAATCATAAGGAATCCATTGAAAAAACTAGAACTAATAAATGCATCAGCAATGCTTCAGGATACACGATCAATGTACAAAAATAAATTGCCTTTCTAAACATTATCAGTGAGCAAACTGAAAATTAAATTAAGAAAACAATTTTATTTACAATACCATCGAAAAGAATTTAAAAACTTCGGAATAAATTTAACAAAAGAAATGCAAAACCTTTGTTCTGAGAACTACAAACATGATGAAAGCAATGAAAGAAGCACTAAATGTTGTTACTGAGCACCAAAGTTGGAGGCTTCACACTTTTTGATTTTAAATGTGCTAGAAAACTATGTTAACTGTGACATTCTGGTATTGGCATTAAGGATAGACATATAGATCAATGGAATAGAATTGAGAGCCCAGAAATAAACCTTCCCATTTATGGACCATTGACTTTTGACAAGGGTGTCAAAACAATTACATGGAGAAAATAAATAGCCTTTTCAATAAATGGTGCTGGGAAGACTGGATACCCACATGCAAAAGAATGAAGTTGGATTCCTACATCACACTATAATGTTAATACAAAAGTTAACTCAAAATGATCAAAGACCTAAATACAGGGTGGGCAAAAGTAGGTTTACAGTGGTGAATATGTGAAACAGTTTATTCTTGGATTATTATTTTTTAATTATTGTATTATTTTCCATACACACAACTGTAAATCTAATTTTGCCCCACCTTGTGTAAGAGTCAAAACTATAAAACCCTTAGAAAAGAGCATAGAGAAAACATGTTCATGATATTGAATTTATCAATAATTTCTTAGATATGACACTAAAAGCACAGGTATCATATGAAAAAATATATAAGTAGGGACTACAGCAAAATTAAAACGTTTTAAGGACTCTATCAACAATGTGAAAAGACAACCAATGGAATGGGAGAAAATATTTAAAACCATACTTATCATAAGAGATTAATATCCAAAATATATAAAGAACTCCTACAACTCAACAACAAAGAACACAATTCAAAATGGGTAAAATACTTGAATAGACATTTCTCCAAGAAAAAATGTACAACTAGCCTATAAGCACATGAAAAGATGCTCAACATCACTAGGCATTAATGGAATGCAAATAAAAACAACAAAGAGATACCACTTCACCCTAATTAGGATAGCTAGGCATTATGAAAGGAGAGAAAGAGAGAGCAAGAGGAGAGAACAAATGTTGGCAAGGAGTTAGAGAAATTGAAATCCTTGTGCATTGCTGGTGGGAATATAAAATTGTACAGCGACTTCAAGAAGTTTGATGGTTCTTCAAAAAGTTAAACATAGAAGTACCATATCATCCAGCAATTCAATTTCTAGGTACATACTCAAAAGAATTGAAAGTAGGGACTCAAACAAGCAATTTGTACACTAATGTTCATTGTGGCATTATTGGAAATTGGCATACGGTGGAAATGTTTAATCCAAATGTCCACCAACAGATGAACAGATAGACAAAATGTGGTATATAGTACACACAATGGAATATTATTCATCCTTAAAAAGAATGCAATTTTGACACATGCTAAGCATGGATTGACTTTAAAAACATATCTATGCCCTAGCCAGTTTGGTTTAGTGGATGGAGCATTGGTCTGTGGACTCAAGGGTCCCAGATTCAATTCCGGTCAAGGGTACATGCCCAGGTTGCGGGCTCGGTCCCCAGTGGAGGGGCATGCAGGAGGCAGCCAATCAATGATTCCCTCTCATCACTGATGTGTCTATCTCTCTCTTCCTCTCCTTCCTTTCTGAAATCAATAAAAAATATATTTTAAAAAATATGCTAAGTGAAACAAGATAAATACAAAAGGAAAAATACTGTATGAGTCCACTTATAAGAGGTATCTAAAGTAGTCAAATTTATAGAGACAGAAAGCAGAATAGAGGTTACCAGGGGTTGGGAGAGGAAGAAATTGGGAATTTGGGTTTAATGGGTACAGAGTTTCTGTTTGGGACAATGAAAAAGTTCTGGAAATAGATAGTGATGATGGCTATACAACATTGTGAGTGTACTTAATGCCATTGAGTTTACACTTAAAATGGTTAAAATAGTATATATATATACTTATCACAATAATAATAAAGCAGTTAGACCTCCAGGTCCCTCATTCTGAGCAACTAGATGGATGACTCCACCCCAGATGATGACTGGAGGTAATGCTCTGGAGGAAGTCAAACGGGCCCTCCAGACTGGAAGGTATAAAGCACAATTGGGGACAGGACCACCACATTGAAACAGGGTTATTTCATACTCGGTCTTCGGTTCTCTTCTACCACTCGCTTCCCAGGGTGCTGACACCAGAATGAAGATACCCTCCAGGAGGGAGACTAAAGGGGTTTGAGAGATCGATCTTAAAATAGACATCAGGGGTTCCCCAACTAACCAGCCCAGACAGATCAACCATCAGGGAAACTTCCAGTCAATAATCTCCACCTGTATGTACAGGTTCATATTCTGCACTACTAGGTAGGGCAAGACGGTAAAGGATCACCTGAAGAGAGAGGAAAGCTACTAAGAAACCAAAACAAACAGGAATGGATAACTTGGAGGAGGCAGCAATTATACAGGGGGAAAGGTTGGAAATTAAGTATATTATTAATATCCTCAGAGATATAAAGAAAGCCAATGTGTTATATAGAAAAGAATAATCAGAGCCCTAGCTGGTTTGGCTCAGTGGATAGAGCGTCAGCCTGTGGACTGAAGAGTCTCGGGTTTGATTCCAGTCAAGGGCACGTGCCCAGGTTGCAGGCTCGATCCCCAGTAGGGGGCATGCAGAAGGCAGCCAATCAATGATTCTCTCATCATTGATGTTTCTATCTCTCTCTCCCTTCTCCCTCTCTGAAATCAATAGAAATATATTTTTTTAAAAAGAATCAGCTCTGAGAAATTAAAAACATGATAGCAGAAATGAGAAATCGAATGTTTAGAAAATAATGAGGAAATCTCCCAGAATATAGTGCAAAAATACAGATATAAAATAGGTCAGAAAATTAGAGGACAAATCAGGAGATCTAACATTCAAATAACAGGGTTCCAGAGAGAACAGAGAAAACAGACACTGCAATGAAATGATTTTTTTTAAGTCTCTAAAGTGAAGGACATGAGTTTCTAGGTTGAAATGATCTACTGAATGCCCAGTAAGATGGTTGAAAATTTGACCCATATCAAGGTGTATCATCATGAAGTTTCAAACCAATGAAGACAAAGAGAAGATTCTCCAAGTTTCTAGAAAGAAAAAAACAGGTTCTATACAAGAGATGAAGAATAGAATGGCCGCAGAATTCTCTGGCAACAGTGGATTCCAGAAGACCATGGTGCAATGACTTTAAAATTCTGAGGAAAAATTATTTCCAATTTAGAGTTCTTTATCCAGCTAGACCTCTACTTTAATAGAAAGTAAAATAAAGACACTTGTAATCCTGTAAGGACTTGAACATTTTATCTCCCATAGACCAGTTATCAAAGGGCAACTGGAGATATGCTCTTCCAAATAAGTGAATCAACCAAGAAAGAGAAAAAGATGGGATGCACAAGTAAGGGATCCAGTGCAGGCGAGGTATGACGGTGAAGGGAAATCCTTAGACAGCGGCTGTGCAACCACAGGTATACAGAGCAACCAACCAGTCCAGACTCTGAAGAGACTTTCTAGAAAAGATGAAATGGATAGAATTCCTCATCTGTTTGAACTTATTGAAATATTTACAGCCCTGGCAGGCGTGGCATAGTTGGTTGGGTGTCCTCCCATGCATGGAAAGATTGCCGACTCAATTTCTGGTTAGGGCACATGCCTGGGTTGCGTCTGGATCCCCAGTGCAGGAGACAGTGATGGATGTTATGTTCTCACATCAATGTTTCTCTCTCTCTCCTGCTCCATTCCTCTCTTTCTAAAAATCAATAAATTCTTCTTTAAAAAAAGATTTACACAAGGACGAAGAGTGTGGGAATTAATTAGTGATATGGACATTAAAAATCAAGCAAATTAAAAAACAAGGCAATTATTAACTCCAGAAAGGAAAAGGATATGACTTGGCGTGGCTGTCACTGGAGTTTACATAGTCATGATCATGTAAAATGCTCCAGCCAAAATGTCAGCTTATCTGTATTAGGAGGTGAAGGAGGCAATAAGTATATGAATAGATGGTGAGCATGAATGATTGCTAACTTCTTGTCTTCCATGGTAGAAAATCAACATATACCTAACATTGAAATATAAAAAGCAGCAAAAGGAGCATTTGGTTATATGGTTGTAAATAGTAAGTTATCAGCCAAAAGAAGTGAAAGTGGCTGCCTCTGGGGTGAAATGGAGGCAGATGGGGTCCCCTGTATTTGGTTACCAGCCTTGTAGAACTATTTAACTCGGTAAAATAATGCACATTTAGCTCTCATAAAATTAACACAGCATAATTCCCTCTTTTATATGGCTGCCAAAAACAAACAAAAAAAAAACCACACACAAAAAAACCACCCAAACAAATAAAAGCAATAAAACTCTCGGTTTTCCCATTTGCTATCAAATAAAATTTTTCAAAATTTGATTTCCTCACCTGTAAAATTGGTTGTTTCATAGATTGAAATGGATTGTGAATACAAAAGTGCTTGGAAACTACAAGAGTTGTTTAACGACAACAACGATTAAAAACTTAGAATCCAAAAGTTGGGAATCCTCAACGTTCATTTATTCCATCACGTTCTGTGTGTAGCAGGGAGCGAGACGCCATAAAGCATAACCTTACCCTCAACTCACCTGTCCAGTACCTGCCCCCGCTCCTACCTGTTCCGGGTGGCGATCTATTCTTTGGGCTTTGGTGCTAGACTTTTGTGAATTCGGATTCCCGCTGTGCTACTTCCTTGCTGAATGGCCTCAGACCTTTTCCTTAGCTTTTTCTGAATTTTAATTTCCCTACCCGGGAATAGTAAAGCCTCTCTTGCCAAACTGATGTGTGGAGCAAAGTAGAGACTGATGGCAAATCCTTTGCTTTGGTCAGTAGCTAAGCGCGGCCGGCTAACTTCAGCACCTTCTTGGGCGCACAGGACTCCTCGGGCCGGGGAGAAGCCGGCTGAGAGCTGCTGGGGGCGGGGAAGATCGCAGTCACTATGGCAACCGGAGACTCCTCGCGTTCTCGGCCTCCTGCGGCGAAGCTGGGAAGGCGAGCCGCGAAGACGCCCGCGGCATGAGGGTGGA